TGTGGAGAAAGGGGAACCCTCCTACACTGCTGGTGGGAATGTAAACTAGTTCAACCACTGTGGAAAGCAGTATGGAGGTTCCTCAAAAAGCTCAAAATAGAAATACCATTTGACCCGGGAATCCCACTCCTTGGAATTTATCCTAAGAATACAACTTCTCAGATTCAAAAAGACATATGCACCCCTATGTTTGTCACAGCTCTTTTTACAATAGCCAAGATATGAAAGCAACCTAAGTGTCCATCAGTAGATGAATGGATAAAGAAGATGTGGTACATATACACGATGGAGTACTATTCAGCCATAAGAAAGAAACAAATCCTACCATTTGCAACAACATGGATGGCGCTGGAGGACATTATGCTCAGTGAAATAAGCCAGGTGGAGAAAGACAAATGCCAAGTGATTTCCCTCATTTGTGGAGTATAATAACGAAGCAAAACTGAAGGAACAAAATGACAGCAGACTCACAGACTCCAAGAATGAACTAGTGGTTACCAAAGGGGAGGGGTGTGGGAGGGTGGGTGGGGAGGGAGGGAGAAGGGGATTGAGGGGTATTATGTTTACTGCACATGGTGTCAGGGGGGTCACAGGGAAGACAGTGTAGCACAGAGAAAGGACATAGTGGATCTGTGGCATCGGATGGACAGTGACTGCCCTGGGGTATGGGTGGGGACTTGATAATATGGGTAAATGTAGTAACCACATTGTTTTTTCATGTGAAACCTTCATAAGAGTGTATGTCAATCATACCTTAATAAAAAATTAAAAAAAAAAAGAAATGTCAAACAAATTCACCATCTTAGGGAGACTGTAACTCATCTAAGAAGTCAGCTGGTCCAGCCGACCAGGAAGTAAATGAAAACAGGGAAACGCCCAATGGCAGTGATTAGCTTCACCAAACAGATACCTGGCCAAAAGAAAACACTGGATTCATGTGGTTCCAGGGCACAGAGTGTCACCACATTCCAAACAGAGTCAAGAATTCAGGCCTCTGGTCCTGGGGGTGGCAAGAGGCCGCAGGGCTGCTGGGAGGTGGGTGGAGGCCTCAGGTCGGAGGGAAGCTGAGCGAGACGCCAGGCAGAGGCACCGCTCTGCAGAGGGGCACACCCTGCCTGCACCCGGCTGGGTGGGGCACCCCAGAGATGACACCACAGGGGAGGGCTGGGACACTGGGCCCCGCCCCACCCCCTCAGAGATGGCACCTGGGCCTCAAGCTGCCCCACAGCCCTGGCCCTCAGGTCCCTATGCCGGCATGCAGGCCTGGGCTCAGCACTGATGCCTAGGAGCATGCTAGCAGCAGCCCCTCACGCTCCGTCCCAGAGGACCTGCGACCACCCTGGGGAGCAGCAGGGTCCTCCGGGCACCCATGTCTGCGTGCCCTCTTCAATACGCTGTCAGGCGTCAAAGAGCCGGGGCCCAGGGGTGCTGTGCCGTCCCAGTGGCTGGGGCCCACGGAGGATCACCGAAGATCCACCGAAGGCCTCACCCTCTCTGGCCACTTTCTCCCCTCCCCCAGCGCTGTTCTCCTGGCATTGCCCAGCCCAGGGCCGCAGGGGCCAGGGCACGCCCGGCAAAGCAGCCCTCCCACGCTGGGCACATGCCACACCACTCCACTGGCACGGTTTGATGCTCTAGAGGAGTGCCATGAAGTCAGGGTCCTCTTGCCCTGGCCCAGGTGCTGGAGTGCCAGGGACCCCGCTGGAAGCCCCTTTTCTGCAGGCAGGGTGCCTCTCCACGCATGCCCTCTATTGCAATCCCGTAGGGAGCTGAGGCGCCCCACACTCCTCCCTGTGGTGCAGGCAGGCCTCCTGCGCCCCCAAGCCCTGGATGAGGCTGTGCCGTCTTCCACTCCTAGCTGGCTCCCAGGCCACAGGACATCACCCCAAGCAGGAGCCTGGCGCCTTGCTCAGGCGGCAGTGCCACTGAGGGGACCTCCCAGGGCAGGCTCCCCACCTGGTCCCAGGACCCCCCAAGCATGCATGTGTGGGCTCTCTCTGCGCCTTTACGAGTCACAAGTTAAATCTGGCCATCTTTAGAAGTGTGAGGACACACGCACACTCTCCATGGGCCAGCCTGCCAGTCGCAGTGATGCCACCATGCCTCCGGAAAAGCCCCCTCAGAGCAGCGAGGGAAGAGGAAGGCCAGTAGCACCTGCAGTCATTCTGAAGAGTCTTGACCTTGGGACCGTGGAAGGGCCTTGGGGCCACCGACCACAGCTTCTCTAGAGCAGGCGTCAGAGTGTGGGCCCAGCTGGGCTGGCGGGCGTGTGTATGCGGAATGTGATGCACTCCACAGGTGCTCGTCAAAGAGGCAGACAGAGATTATGAAAAACGTTTTATTTTAAATCAAAGTACCAAGCAGATACTTGCAAAACCACATACAAAGTATCACTCAGATGCCCCGCTTCCCCGGGCTGTCTCTGAGCCGGTGGTGCCTTCCCAGAACCAAAGCCTGGCGGCCAGGACAGCCTGAGCTCCCGCCCTGGGGGGCACCGCAGGACAGTCCCTCCCCTTGGGCTGCGGTCTCCTTGATGGCAAACCCCCTCCCCTGCTGGGGCGCGGGGCCCTCCCAGCCCAGGTGGAGGGAGGTGGGGTAATTCTGGGGCATGTGTGGTTTCCGTTTGTACGGCTCTGGGGGCAGGGACGGCGCTTTGAAGGGAGGGAGAATGTCCCACTCAGAGGGCAAGGTGCGCTGTTATACGTGGTTTTCCACACGGTCTGAGCTGGTGGGGCGCCCACCCCCCACGGCCTGTAACAGGCCTCGTCACTCAGTGCAGGCAAGCTTACACAAGGCGTATATACACAAACACGCAAACGTCACCTCAACAGCTGACCCACAACAGCAGCAGACACAGATGAACAGAAAGAAGACAGAAAACAACAGCTCGAGTGGGCTGGGCCGCTGCACAGAGGCCGGGGCACTTGATGGCAGGGCGGGTGGGCAGAACCTAGTCCCTCAAAGCACGAGGTGGGTGGCTCCCTCCCACTGTGGGCCCAGAGGAAGGTCTTCCACAGGCCAGGGATCCGGCACGAGGCCCAGGGTGGCCACGGGGACCCACAGGGTGGCCACCTGGTTGGTCTTCCTCCTGAGTCCAGACTCAGACCCCTCAGACAGCCCTTCCCGTGGGTCCCCTGGTTCCCATGTCAGTGGGGGCTAGCTTGCCCCAGCCCACTGGGCACCAGTGTCCCCAGCAGGGGACCCCTGAAGGTTGAGCATGGGGGTGACTGGAGCCCCAGGTCTGAAGAGGCATCTCCACTTACCCTGTGGGGACCCTCCTGGGCCCCCATCCTGTTGCTCACATTCACCCCAGGAGGACAAAGCCCATCATCGGGCTCCCCTGGGAGGGCCATGCTCCTGGACTGGGGCAGCAGAGCCCCGCACCGCACCACCCATGGGCCATCCCAACAGTCACTTCATACAAAACAGTCTGGAACCCAGATCAGATTTGGGAAGCCTAGGCACTCAGCATTATTTACGTTGAAAATGCTATAAATCCAGCTCTTCCTAGAAGCTGACTGGACAGTTCACTTACAAATACCAGGGCGCATACAAGGACTTGCACACTGAGCACCTGCCAGGCAGGCGCGTCCCCCGTAAGAGGGCAGGCCGGCTCCTCAGGCCTCTCTGCACAGGTGGGTGGCCCCAGGATGTGCACCCAAACCTCAGGTACTCAGGCGTCGCCAGACCTGAGCCCACGCAGACCTGCCACACCCATGAAGCCCGCTGGAGACGGGACAGCGGGTACAAGCTGCACCAACCCTACAGAGAACTGTGGGAAGAAACGAATCCATAGGATCCACGGGTTCCACACTTGGGGTTCCCAAGACATGTGTTAGTAACGTCCCTCCTCAGCGGCTCAGGCCCACCAAGGTCCTCACACATGAGCGCCCTTGGGCGTCCCCGGATCTGCACGTCACCCGCTGTGCCTGGCCTCTCAGCCTCTCCCACCTGGCTCCTGATTGGGCCTAAGGTGTAAACAGTATTAAGAAGCAACAGATGAAAAAATATATTTCCCAGCAATGAAAGGGAGGAGGCTCAGAACTCAAGGACCGGCTTCACGGCTGCTGTCATTTCTGTCCCTTTTTCTCTCCTGTTTTGGCATTTCCTCTTTGGTTCAGCAGCCCTGAAGGACCCGCTGGGCACCGGTGCCATGCTCCCACCTGGCCGTGACCTCAAGAGAGGCAGCCAGCCCTGGGCCTGCAGAGGCCTCACCCTCTGCTAGCGGCTACTTGTGCTCATGGCCTTCCGCCACTGTGGCCACCTCAATGGTGGCTGTGTGGTCCTCGGGCCCTGAGGCTGCCATGGTGCTCTCAACAGCCCCCGTGGGCACTGTGAGAATGGTGCTGCCCCCAGGTGCCACCTGGGCCACATTCTGCAGGGCAGGGCCCAGGCTGGGCAGTGTGAGCAGCTGCAGTGGGCTCACCACCTTGACCACGGCACTGCCATCCTGCACAGCAGCTGTGCTAAGGACTGCGAGGCTGGGTGTGTCCGGGTGGATCTCCACCGTGCTAGGGAAAGCAGTGCCCGGCGAGGCCAGCACTGTGTAGCCCCCGAGCAGTGGCGAGGCTGGGGAGTTGGTGGGCGCAGCCTGGGGCGAGCCCTTGCCCAGCACGGGGGAGGGCAGCGCAGACACCACTTTGCCGAGGGGCACGCCGGTCAGCTGGGGCACGCCAGGGCCGAGGGTGATCTGGGCAGACTGCGTGAGCACCTGTGAGGCGATGGCGGCTGGCCCGGAGGTGGCCCTGGCGAGCCGGGGCCGCTTGGTGGGGGGCGGCAGGGAAACGGGGGTCAGCGTCATGAGCACATTGCTGAGGTGCTGGGACTTGTGCTTCAGCTCCTTGGCCCGCCGGCGATGCTCGTCGCACTGCTGCTCCAGGGCTGCAGGCAGGGACAGCGTCAGCGCAGGGCAGGGCAGGGGACCTGGGGACAGGGTCAGCGAGGGCGGGAACAAGGGGCACCTGGGATCAGGGCGTCAGTGTTGGGGCTGATGGGGAGGGTCCTGGGGACCGAGCTTCCTGCTCTCTTTAGCATGACCCAGGCATCCCTGGTTCTGAATGGAGAGCTGCTCTAGGGACATACTAAGATAAAAAGTAGGTCAAAACAGCACACAGCCCACAAGGGCAGCGAGGGCACCTGGGAGAGGCAGGCGGCAGAGGAGCTCCTGGCTCTGCTGCTCTGCACATACGCGTGCAGGCTCAGGGCATGTGCTGGGCACCACCGTGGCACCTGCCCACCTCCCTGTGCACAGCACACATGCTCCATCCTGATTTCCCAGACAGTGGCCCCGCCCTGCCATGCTCCCACAGGGTGGCGTGGTCCCGCCCCGGGCGCACCTGCCAGGTCACGGGCATATTGCTCACGGGAGCGGTCCATCTGGCACTTGTGGCTGGCCAGCACCTTCTTCACCAGATCCAGCATGCCAAAATTCTGCACGATGTTATTGAGGAGCACGGCGTCTGAAGGGCGAGCAAGCACTGAGTGCAGGACCCTGGGGTCTGTCCCCGCCCGCGCCCTACTCTGGCTCTGCCCTGCAGCTCTGGCCCGGCGGCACAGAAGGGCTACAGGGAGAAGGGCTAACCGCCCACCTGCTGCAGATGCTGCTGGGCTCAGCTCCACCTTGCGGGGCAGGCAGCCTGTGCCAGCCCTGAGGCAGCTAGCCAGCCCCCAACACTGATGCCAAGCCAGCAGGACCTCTCACCTCGGAGCTGCAGTGGGGGGTCCTGGGCCCGCCGCTGCAGGCCTGCCATGGTGTCCGCCAGCCCCTGGTGGCACCCCTGTATGACCTCGTCCAGCAGGCCGGCATCCTTGAGGCCTCTCCAGAAGGCAAACGTGTCATCTGTGAGGGAAGAAGGTGGAGGTCCGACAGGAAGAGCCCTGAGTGGGCTCCTCACCACACAGAGAAGCAAAGAGCTGACAGGAGGACACCTGCATCTACACACCCAACAGCTGCAGGTGGTGGGCTGGGCGGCCCCGCACCCAGGGGCCCCACTGCACTGCCACTTTGGTCACGAGGCTCCCAGCCTTCCCAGTCTCCCGGAGGGTGAGGGCAGGTGGGAGTGCCTACCTCCGATAGCCGTGGTCCAGTCTCCAGGGTCCTCGCAGGTTTCTATGGTGATGGTAGCAGGCGACCCATTCACTGCAACCAACACACCCCATGAGCCGCCCCATAAGCTGCCCCAGTGGCCACCAGGGTACGAGCTCCAATCTTCCCTTCGCACCAGTTTTCACAAAATTGACACACATACTAGGGCAAAGGATTCACTTGCTTTGCACTTTAAATTTGCTTTCAAACCTTTTAATCCCATCTTCAAATGTGTCCAAAGGAGAAAGAACTAATATGAGTCCCCTTGAACCCGCCACCCGGTCTCAGCGATGCCCAACATTGCACAGTTCCTCTGTCCACACTCCCCCACCCGGACCCCAGACTGGCTGGTCGGCACACTGCTTTGGCTGTTGTGTTTTCCAAGTGCGAGCCGGGGGTCGTGACTGCTGGGGGCTGGGCCACCAGGGCACCCCCTCCCCACGCACCTCCGACGTATGTGTGCTCCACTGTGTATCTTAGTATCTCCGCCATTTCCATTCCCTAGATCAGCAGAGGCAGGACCAGCCAGCCATCCTGTCGCCGCTGAGTCCGCCTTGTGCCTACAGAGCACAGCAGAGGGTACCACGGGCATTTGGCCATTTGGGGCTTTTTCTGATAGAGAACCTGCCTTAAAAACAAGCCCGCGACCGGCTAACAGCTTCGTGTGAGTCTTTCAATGTCACGCTGCCCAGCCTCTCCCAGGTCCACCAAAGATGTCACGGTGAGGAATCTCACATGCCTGGAATAATCTGGGGCCTGAGCAGAGATTTCCCACAGTCTGGGTGACCCCCAATCTCTAACTACATAGTAGACAAGTCAGACATTCTTGGAGAACCCTGGCTGAGGAAACCACACAGGTAAGTATAAGTAAAGCGACAGACCCATCCAGACCACATTGGACGACAGCTCCAGAGCTGAACCCAACCCTGAATGCTCCTGCACTGGCCCACAGGTGCTGGGAACAGCTGCCTCAGGCTGACCCCACAATGCTGACCAGCCCTGCTGTCAGGAAAGCCACCAGCCATGGAGTGGGACACGTGTCTCGGCATGTCTCCCAGGGGAAGGGCCTTTGCTGTGACCCAGCCCCTGCCCACACACCTCGTGCCATCCAAAAAGCCAGACCAGGACCCAGCCTGGGGATCGGTCCAGGAAGAAGTCTGAAGGACCCAGGCCCACATCACTGTAGACCGTACGCACGGGAAGAGGGAAGAGCCTACAACAGCCAGCCTCCTGACTGCTGGCGACTTGAGTGAGCCTGTGGCTTCTAGGAGGGACCCCAAACGGAGGCCAGCTGCTGGCACTGCGCAGCCCCATGTATGCAGGGGCAGGGGCATGGGCACACCCGCAGCGAACGACGCGACTATGGCCCCCGAGCCACCTGCTCAGAGACGAGGCTGGTCCCTGGCCATGCAGCAGCCCGTCCCCATGGAGTGACAGCATAGCAACCATGCAGGTGACATCCTTGGGAATGCACCAGATTCTCACCAGTGTGGGTCAGGAACTCAGGGCCAATTCCACCCTAACTTCAGGTTCAAAAGGACCCTCTACTCAAAGAACCGGAGGAATTCCAGCGAATGCTCAGTCCTTCCATGAGCCAGAGACACAGACGCCAACCTGGAGGAGCGGCAGACATGCCAGTCCAACCAAGGGGCAGGGATGCAGCACACCTGCCGTGTGCCAAGGGCTGTGGGATGTGCGGGCTCCCGCCTGAGGAGCAGCCCAGGGTGGCGAAGGCGCTCCCTGAACCGGCCAGAGCTGGTGGTGGACCTGGCGCTGGCTTTACCATGCGCTTCTCTAGTGTCCATTATTGTATTTTATAATAAAAAATGGCTCAAAAATGAAAACTGTTCGAATTTCCCTTTGGATAAAACAGAAATTCAGCAAGACTTCCCTGGATGGGAAGGAGGCAGTGGCTGCTGACACCGCAGGACCCCAAGGGGACAGTGGAGCCTGGGTGGGGACAGCTGGGCTGCCAGAGAACGTGCGCCAAGCCCACCTCGGCACCAGCAGCCAGCGGGTGGGGTCCTGAGCAGCAGGAACAAAGTGTCAGGCCCAGCACGTACCGTCGGCTGTGGCGGGCGTGAGTGGGATGTACTCGGCCGGCGTGGGGCTGCTCAGGGACACACGGGCTCCAGAGAGGTCGATCTTGGTGCTGCGGCAGGTGTTGGAGCAAACCTTGTCATGCTGGTAGAAGTCCAGCTCTCCGGAGTCCATGATCTTCCTGCACACGGGGACTGAGCATCAGTCGCGTGCCAAGCCCAGGCCACCCATGTGCACGAATGGACTGGGGGCGCCTCGCTCCCCACTCACGACTCAGGTCCCGAGGGCAGGGCAGCAGCTGCAAACAGCTGGTCTGAAGGCTGCACCCCTGAGGTGGGAGGTGGGCTCCATGGGGGCCCAGAGTTCTCAGCTGGCGTACTTGCACCAGGCAGGAGGCCTTGGCTGCCCACGCGTGCTCTGTTCACAAGAGGTGTGACTGCCGTGGCCAATACCCCGAGCAGGAAATGAGGGCCCTGACCAGTGGGCATCTTGGAGATGCCAGTCGGGTGCTGTGGGGCTGGGCCTTCCAGGATGCTCTGCTGCCCAGTGGCCCCCAGGGTGCAGACCCACGGCCAACACAGGTGCAGACAGCTGCATGGTGTGTGGCCTAATGGGAACCAGACACATGCCCCAGCTTCCAGCTGCCCCCGAGGCTGTCTCTTCCATCCCTTGGTCTCGTCAGGAAGGCATGACTGCTGGGAATGGCCTCTTCCTGAGGGCCAGGTTTAAGTCTGGGCAAGTCTCAATTAGCCTCCCTCAACCCACGAGGGTCAGCGGCTCCACAGGGCCCCCTGCACTGCTCGGCCTTCGGGCAGTGGTTGCACTGACCTCGGGGTGGGCATCTGTCGGCACGCCTCCCCAGCCGGGCTCTTCCCGTGAAGCTGCCCGCCACCTCCCCACAGCCAATTCCACCAAGACACTTTCTAGCAAGTCAGGGGCCGGCTTGATGGCTGTGGCTTAGAAAGAAGTTGGGAGCACTGCAAAAAGGGCCCAGCTGAGTGGTCCGTGGGCCTGGGCATCAGCGCCTTTCAGGCCCAGACTGTGGTTCCCAAGGACAGTGAACGCGGCTGTGGTTGGGGGCTCCCAGTGGGGGCTGCACGCACTTCCGTGGTGGCAAACACATGCCCAGGGACAAAAGCCGCTTCTCCCAGGAATGACACACAGAGAAAAGCAGCCCCTTTAGCACAAAGTGACCCAAACCAGCCATGCGAGATGTGATCAGAAACAGTGCCATCTCTGGCCAGACAGGCAGAGGGCCTGTGGGTATGAGCACAGGCAAGAGAGAGGGCAGGAGCGGCCGCCTGGAGGTGCCCTTCACCACATCAGGAGGGAAGAGCTTTTCCCCTGACTTGAGAACGAGACTTGCCACTCCTGGGAGAACACACTGAAAGGCCCCGAGTCCCTCCCCAGGCTTCGCGGAAGGCCCACATCCCTCCTGCTGAGGATGATGGGGAGGGCCCCGGAACCCCCGGAAACCCACTGGTCTGCACGCCGAGAACATCCGTGGCACAAAAGGCCAGGGAGCCATCCAGCTTTGAGGAGGCAGACACAATCCCCAAACACAGGTGTGGCCTGGACAGGAAGCTTGCCAGGCAGACTGGCCATGCCAGGAAGGACAGAGTCCAGACAACTGGCCAGACTGACACACACCACACGTTAAAGGGAAGGGGGCTCTCCACCTGGACACCGGCCTGGGCTGTAGTGGGTGAGCTTATTTTCATGTAGGGAGCACACAGGACACGCAGAGGCAGGCCACCCTCCCCAGGGACGTGTGCATTTTGCACACTTTAGTAAGAGGTGCCATGATAAAGGCACAAGGCCAAGAGGTGGCCCTGGCTGCCTTTCTGACGTGCACACACCGCTCACACAGCTACCGTTTGACTGTCCAATGGCCACAGGTGCCCTCACTCAAGAACCAGTGGGAAAAAGTGAGGCAGCAAAGAATCCTACATGTTTGCAGGGCTATGGGCAGTGCAGCCCCTGGGGACATGGATGGCTCTCCTAACGGTTACAGGTTCTTCAAAAACCCAAAGACAAATGAAAGAACAGTGGCCGCTGTGCATCCATCGAGGAGGGGCACTGACACCATCGCCTGCATCACCCGTCTGCCAACAGCTCATCCCACCCGCGGGTGCCCACCTGAGCATGATGCCGTTCATGCGGATGGCCCTCTTCCAGTCCTTCAGGGTAGACTTGCCAGCCAGGTGCACGAACTCCTTCGGGCTGATCACATGCTCATCATACTGTGGAGGGAAGCGCAGCAGGGCAGGGTCAGGGGGGCGCCTCTCGCCGCCCTCTTCTCCTGCCTGTCCCTTGTCCAGAGCCCAGCCTGGGGGTGGGGGGTGCAGGATGGCAGGGCATAGCTCCAGGACACATTAGGGAGTCAGCCGACAGCAGCCCATTCAGGGACAACAATCCATGTAAAACAAGGTATGGCCCTCATGCACGGCAGGACTGGGAGCCAACTTCCCACTGCCTGCAGCAGATGGGGGGCCTGGCACTGCCCTGCCAGAACACACCGCAGGCCTGGGGCCTGGGGCCTGGGTACAGTGGCGACCACATCACCCAGGAAGGCAAGGCGCTCTCCCCTTCACATGGGACGCCACCAAAGATACCACGAGACGCGCCCTCGGTCCCGGCCCCAACACCCGCCTTCACAGGCAGCACACAGCATGTTTGTCTTCCTCTGAGGTGCCCACATCCGCCTCAAGGTCAGGGGACCAACCCTACTTGTAAGGCTCTGAGACCCGATGGCTCTGCCCAGTGCTGGAGCTCAGAAGGCCTGAGTAGGTGAACACATCCTATTTGATCTTGTCAAACAAGCAATTACTGGAACCAAAGGATCAAACGAAACTGTTTACTTAGAAAATAGGCCGGCTACGGATTTATGAGTCACTGGGTCTCCACAGAGGCAGAAACGAAAGCTCCAACGGTGACCTGAACGTGCTGCTAGACCCAGGCTGGGCGGCTTCCTTCTGGTGCCCTGCTGTCTGCGCTCAGATTACCCTGCCCAGGGCAGAGGGCTCGGCCCAGCATCTCCATCAGACCCAGGTCACAGCACACACGACTGGCCTGGGAACAGCCACCCCAGGAGCAATGCTCTTAATCTCTTAGGCACCCTCACATTTGCTCTGAGTGCACGGAGCCTCGATCCCTCACTCAGCTGGTCGGGAAGCCTGGCCTGAGCACTGGCAGCTGGAGTCAGGGAGCTCACCAGACAGGACGCCCACACCCGCAGACATGAAGCCATCCCTGCCAGGGACCTGATGCCATACCCGGCTACGACTCTGACCCATCCCAACCACTGGCAGACGAGGCAGCTGCCACCTGGCTGGCCATCCCGAGTCCTGATGCCTCACTCTTCACCCAAGAACTCCGGCCCAGAACCACTTGCTCTCTGCCTAGAACACTTATGGGGAAGTTCTATGCCTAGAACACTGTGCTGACTCACTGCTGGCAAACAGTTTTGCCTGAGAACTTCCTGGTTTCCAAAGACGACCTCCCTGAGTGCAGTGACGCTCTCTGAGCTTCTGTCCCCTGGCTTCTGCAGGGCTTCCAGGAGGTGGGCTGAGGGGCCAAGGAATCTCATTCTGCGGCTCCAGGATGATGCTACCTAGAGAGAGGCTCCTTTTCTGCTTCTAGCTTTTTATTCTGCTGTTATTTCAAACTTGGGAATGACTGAGAATGGCACAGAATGCTAATGTGCCCTCCCGCTCAGGCCACCTGTGACGTGAGCACACATGGCTCCTCCCGGCAGCAGACCTACAGGCGTCCAGCCCAGGTACCTCGTGCCCACTCCTAGGAATGGGGTTCTCTTACACAGCTCAAGGTCAGGAAATCAGCATCCATGCGTCACCACCAGGCCCACAGGCAGGACTCAGGTCCCACAGACTGTCCCCGCAGAGCCTTCAGAGTAACCGTCCTCACGCAGGACCGGCCCGGACCGCATGCTGCTCCCCCTGCTGTGTCCTCATCCCCTCCAGCAAAGCAGCTCCTCAGCCTGCCTGCCTTCACAACTTCATTTTTGAAGCATGCAGGTCAATTTTTCTGTAGACTGCCTCCAATTTGTGTTTGTCTGATGTTTTCTCATGAGTAGAGTCAGGTTCTGCATTTTGGGCAAGAATGCCAGAGTTCGTGCCCATCTTGATTTGGCGGCACATGAAGGGGGCCTGTTGGGATATGATGTCCACACTGTCACTTGGTGGAGGGGCCGAGTGCCAGGCCCCCCACTGCAGCTGCTGCCCCTCACCCAGGACACACGCTGCATGGGGGCCTCCCTGCTGCTTCGACACTTACCACTTGGCATTCCGATACAAGCGCCCCCTCCTCCCCATTCACTGGGCATGACGACCATACATGCCGCAGTGAATGCAGCTCCTGCGGTGTCACGCTCGGTGTGTTCCACACCATCATCGACTCTTCTGACGCCAAGCAGTCCCGGGGGAGCCAGGAAGGCCCTCTGAGCCGGCAGCCGTGCCTTACTGAGATGTGGTCGCTTTCCTCCTCCTCCAGGAAAATTTTCAGGCCCTTCCTCTTTCCTCCTTCCCAAACTCAGGGGCACTAGGCTCTCTCATCTCTGCTTCCCTCCTTTTGTCTCTGTGCGTTGTACTCTGAGCGCTTTACTTCCACCTTCCGGGTCACTCATTCCCTCCAGCTGCGTCTGACCTGCTGCGGAACTGACCCGAGCGTCCGAGTTCATTGTATCTTCATTTCTAGTTTGTTTTCCGAATCTGCTTATGCTTTAGCCACGTTCAAGCCTCTCTTTTATGTCTCAAAACAAATTAAACATAACTGTTTCATATTCCGTGTCTGAAACGTCACCGTGGGAACCTCTGTGGGCCTCTGCCCTGCGGTCTGTGCCCCCGTCAGCACCGCTTTCCCGTGTGCTGTTTTGGTTTTTTTTTACTGTAAGCTACTTCTTTTCACGGCAGTTTCCTTGAAACTACTTGAAACCTGCAAAAAAACAAGTTCCCCCTAAAGAGTTTTCATTTGCTCCTGTCGGGTTCCTGCGTAACCACCTGCAAAGAAACTCCCAGTCTAAGGTTTTTGTCTGGCCACAGCTGAGCCCACGAAAGGGTTCCGCCTTCTGCTCAGGCTAAGATGTGAGGCAGGCGCCTTCCTCGTCCTGGGGGTGCGCTGGGCTGGGAGTACATCAGCAGTGGTTCGCCCTGTTGCTGAGGGTGGGGACCTCTGGAGCAGTGGCCTGCCCGGGGACAAGCCCATCGCCCCCAGGGAGCGCTGGGCTACACGCACTCTGGCCTGTGCAATGTGAGGCCAGAACCTGGCAAAAGGCCCTGCAGGTGGGGCTGGAGGTGGGACCATCCCCACCACAGCTCAGCCAGGCCCTGGGCCTGAGTGTTTCCTCCTTTTTTGCCAGCTTAGGTGCATTATGAAAATACCTCCACTGGCATTTTTGGTTGTTTCCACAGGATGAGCCTGGTTACCTAATCTGCCATGTTGCTGGAAAAAGACAGGTGGCTTCCCTGAGCACGTGTCTCATTCCACCTGGTAAAGCCGCTCACAGCTGGGCAGCCAGGCCCGCCGCCCCCACCTCCCCCCACAGTGCCCCTCGTCACAGAGAATCACCATTCCCGATGCTTTTCCTTGTGTCCTCGGTGGTGACCCTATCCGTCCCCGATGGCTTATTCCTTCTCTGCGCTCCCAAACACTGGGATTTCTGCCCAAGCTCACACCTGGGAGCAGGGCTCTCCTCTCACTAGCCTCACAGCTGCCAGACCGAGAAGCCTCCCCTGCAGCTGGCACAGGGGCTGCAGGACCCTCACCTGAACACACTTCACATTGATGCCAGGGCACACGAACTTCCTCCAGATCAAGTTGGCCCTGCTGTCCCCGCAGGTAATGGGGTACACGATTTCAGCCTCCATGTTCTCCTCCTCTTCCGCCATCTTCACTTCTCATGGTGTGTTGACAGGGAAAGGGGGGAAACAGAAAATCAGTTACGACCTCTTCAGAGCACTTCCTGAAAGGGCACGGACATGGCTGCCAACCAGGAAACCAGGAACTGAACTCCGGGAGGGCTGAGCTAGGCCCTGGTAGGCAGGGCACACTTCTCATCAGTCCCCACTGGTGTTCCAGGTAAAGTTGCAAGAGCAGCGTAGCCACAGCTGTATTAGTAATTACATCAAACTATGGTCCCACCAAGGTGCCACTTAGGGAAAGAGTCAAACTTTACTTGGAACAGTTCTAGAGAAACTTACTTTTTCTGTTCTGAGGAGCTCTAAGGCCTTAAATATTAGGCAACAGAAAAATAACAAGGGTGTTCTGTCTGCAGAAACTCCACTGAGCCATGATGAGCACAGCCACAGGCGGGGGCTGCGAGCCTGGGCCTCCATGGCCATGGCCCCTCGGGGAAGAGCCTGCAGAAGGGCCTTGTGCCCTGAGTGACCCCCGGGAAGCCCATCCCCTCAGGAACACCACCTCCAGAGCTGCCTGCGGGACTGCGATGAGAAGGCAGGCTGCCTACCTAACACGGCCTCCTTGAGCTGCGAGGTTGCTGTAAATGCAGCTGCGGCGGCTGCCGCCGCATTCTCCGTCTCCATGTTATCTTCTGTCAGGTCGCCCCTGGGAAAGGAGGGAGGGACGTCAGCAGGCCTGGTGTGGCGCCTTGCCTCCCCCTCGTCCCCAAGCCTGGTGGCGGTGTGGCTGGGCACCTGGTGCTGGCAGTCACTACACAGCTGCCCCCAGCAGATGCCCCTCCGAAAGGCTGTGCCTTTGGGGCCATGACAGCACCCACACGTGAGACCACAGAGTGCATCTGAGCGGGATGAGCACACGGCAGGAATTCTAAACCCCCATTTCTTTCTTCAATAGAGTTTTCTATTTCTGTGACAATTTCACTTGGTTTATAGAAACTATCAAAAGCATAAGATTTTAGAAAGAAAAAAATCATCTACTGCCTAACCTCAACTTACACCAAACTGCAGACAAATCCAATGTAAAGACTTGCAGCAAAGCCATAAAAGCATTAAAAGGAAAAAATGGCATTTCACAAAATAGTTTCAAAATGGTGAGAGGTTTTCTTACAGCATAAAAAAGATGATAAATTTGCCTTAAAAAAAAAAACTTAATTTTTTTAAAAAGGAGAGAACTGGTGGGAAATGTGTATGGCATAGGAGAGCAAACATGTGTCCTGACATCCCATAAAGTGCCTCACGGGTTGGCATGCTGCCCAGAGGGAAACAGGCGAAGGAGGCCGCCTGGGACCGGAGGTCATTGGCATCTTCCTCACTCACAAGGATGCAAACAATACCTCAACCAGGGACCCTCCTGGCCACACACCCCATGGGAGGTGGGGCAGCCCTGGGAGTGGCGTGTCCCATACTCACAGAGAGCCCTGCAGGACTGTGGAAAATGGGGAGACAGTGTGGTCCCTGGAACCCGGGGTGGCAGGGCTGGGGGCTCCCTGCCCGGCGTGTGCACTTCCCGACCACTGAACACACAGTACTGTGCATTCTTGTGTGGGTGCTATATTCAGAAGCAGGTTTGCTCAAAAGCAGACATGCTTTCAGGGTTGGCTCAGGGCATCCATTCACACCCCTAGCAAATGCCCTGAGGCCCAAACGCCTCCCAGCGTGGCCACTCCCCCCCCAGTAGCGCCCCACCTCAGGGACTGGCACACTCGGGCGAGGAGGGGCACTGACTCCCTGCGGCCCATGCTCCCACCAGGGGGGCAGGGAGTGAGGGGGGGGGCCAGGAAGGCCACCTGGTGCTCTGGGGATGCTGAACCTGGACCGCTGAGAGTCAGGAGCTGGCAGGAGGGTGCAGGGGGCCCCAAGAGGCCTTTGTGAACCAGGTGAGGCAGGGCCTCATTGCTGTGCTGCTGGGGGGTAGGACTGGGCCCTGAAAGCACCAGAAGTCTTGGCATTACTTGAACTCCCACCGCGGAAAGGATGCTTGGCAGTGGGAAGGGGCTGGAAGTGGTGAGGATGCCTGGGAGAGGCTCCTGGGTGTGCGCTCAGCAGAGGGCCCAGGGCCAAGAGGACAGCAATCCCGGTGGAGGGGACGGGACCCCCAGATCCCAGGCTCCAGGCGGGGTATAAGTTCAGGTGCCTGCAGGGTGATTGTGGGGCACCTGACAGGGTCTGGCTGGGAGACCACAGGGTATAGCTCCAGGGCCGTCTCATGAGGTCCCTTGGCCCTTGCCCCAAAGGTGGCCATGCCCCAGCTCCCCAAACCACAGAGCAGGTATACAGTCTCTGAACTCCCTGTAAGGAAGTGACAGAATATGGGCTCCATGGGGCTGGGGGACTTTCTGCCACTGTGTGGCACTAGAGGTCTGCACTCTGGCTTGCCAGTTATGAGCCATGGGAACCCTGGTACCCACACTCAGAGAGGCTGGGGCTCGGCCAAGTGTGGCCGTCACAGTGGGGCTTGGTAGTGTGGGAAAGGTGCCGTGGTCACGGAGTGAGTGAGGGGGAGAGGCCAGGCAGGTGAGCATGGGGACAGGGGTCTGGCCACCTGAGCCCAGGGCAGCTGCTCAGTCACAGGGAGAAAGTGAGGCCCCAGGGCAGAGGCCGCTGCAGAAATGGGAGCAGGTGGCCCAAGGGGCCAAGTGCCCTGCCTGCAAGACAGGAGCCCTGGGAGCATCTGGGTCAGGGTGGTCAGACCAGCGGTGGCCACGGCTGCAGGAGCAGCAGCAGCCAATGCGAAGGCACAGAGGGAGGAGGCTCCTTGGGGCAAAAAGCAGGTGTGGCAACCGTGGTGACCATGGGGCAGTGCCCAGCCCCTGCAGCGCACCTGCCTGGAGGGCCCCCTCAGGGTTGGGTCAGCGTCCCAGGGCCTGGCTGGGGCTCTCAGCACACTAGTCCTGAGGCTCTTTTCACCGCACCTTACCCACTGGCCCTGCTCCCTGTATCCTTCAGAGGCCCTTGCCGAGAGCCTCTACGCTAATCCCACCTGCCCCCCGAGGTCCCAGAGAGCAGCATGCGGTGCCCAGGGGCTGCCCCAGCGAGCCCGTCCCCAGTCCCCTGCTTATGACAACTCCTGCGGCGACCCCACTGCCCGAGCTCCAAGGCTCCTGGCCTCACCCACCCAGGTCAGGAGGGAGAGCTGGCCTTCGGGGCCCCTTGGAGTGACTTGTGTGAAGAACATGAATGAGTGACAGCACGGGGCACACGGGCTCTGGGAAGCCGGCCTTGGAACCAGAACCTGGGGAGGTGGAGAGGACAGTGACAAAACCGGAGAGGGTGCCCTTTCATGCCACAGACAAGGACATTCCCCAAGAGGAAGCGTGTCAGGAGTGGGAGACATGGAAGCATCAACCCCAGACTTGAGAGCTCAGCATTGACAAGTCAGGGCACAGTCCCCATCCCAGGCCGAGAACGAGCAAATGAGGGGACGTCCTAAGCCAATGTGGCAACCATTTCCAGCCAAGACCAAAGGGTCACCTGGAAGCAGACGTGAGGGTAGAGCTCTGCCCCCGCTGTCCCTGCACATACACAGGAAGGAATCCCCACAGCTCCATGAGACATCAGTTAACTGGCATCTGCAGTTAGAACTTCATTTGGAAAATGTCCACTTCACCATAAACATGTGCTTAACATGTTTGTGGGAACTGCTGACTACAAAGTGCTGCTGTCCTCCCAGCCGTGGCTACGCTGCCTGCTGCATGGCGGAGCAGCAGGTGGGAGGCAGCCCTAGTGGGCTTTCACAAAGGAGCAATACTCCAAGCCCTCCCCCAAGAATTCAGCCAGAAAAGAAATCAGCGTCCACAAAGTAATTAACCTGCTTCTACCACCCACCCATGTTTGTTAAAACAAGTATCGAGAGGAAATCTCAGCTTTCAGCTGGGGGCTGACAGCACGGTTTCCCACAGAAAAAGGAGAAATCTTTGGGTCCTTCAGGGTGAACCCGCCTTGGCTGCCAGCCTGGGGTTTCCTTCTCCAAGGGGAAGCCACTCCTTTCCTCCCATAAGTGATGGGACATGGACCGCACTTGAGAGTCCCGATTCCATGACTGCAAACGTGGCCATGCC